AAATGAACCCATAATAATTTACGTCTATGACCAATCGACGACTTTATAATTTTTGTAAACAAATAATGACATATGGGCTTATTTTTAATAATTTATGATAACATTATACATAAGGTTACATTTTCCATTTAGAGGAAACTGTTTCCAAGTGACGTTACAAGACTGTTACCTTAAGATTTAATATTCCATGGTCACACATAGGTCTTTTTTGACCAAAATTCTTAGGCTAAATTGCGGGAGACTGAAGATTCAAATTTAATTTCAGATATATCACTCCTATTTATTACAAATGAAATAATTCTATTTTTAATATTCAAGAAACTGTAACTTATAGATTCCCACAATTGGCGGTGTAATAAAATTTAGCGTCGATAGATTGATGTACTTTTACCATGTCGATCACACTTAAATAACTAAAAGAATTAAATTAATTAACGTTGATGTACACTTTTTTTTTTAATCTTGCTTGGAATGCTAGTTAAAATATCATCGGGAAAATTAGCACTAGCTTCGTAGTGAGGTTTTGGATCCGAACTTTCAAAAGTGAGATTTTGGATTGCAAACATATTTAAATTGGTGGATTAGGGTTCCCAAATTATCGGTTAATGTAAACATTAAAGTCATGTGCGATTTTCACATGACTAATGCTAGAGGTCAAAATTGTCAAATCACTTAATTAATATTTATCTTCAAGTTAAACTAAAATCATGTATTACTTTAACGTTCAAATTGAAGATTTTTATTATGTGAAGAGTCAAATTCACATATTCAAAAAGGTTGGGAACTTGGAACCGCATTTTGTAGATTATGATCTCATAATCTCATTACGTCCATAGGGACTAAAATCTAAATTTTAATTTAAGTCAAAATTAACAATTAATTTTAACCACATAATTTATGAGATCCACAACTTTTGAACAATACATTTCATCAACTTTTATCAAAATCTATTAAAAAATTAATTTTAATCACCACTAAATAGGGGGCTACATAAAAGATTAAGAAGTACAACCTTCGACCCTTTTTGACAACTATTATTTTCGAACTCTTTTTTAACAAACTCGTTTTCACTACACGTTCACGTAATAAAATATTCTATACGTCAATCCAAAATTTATCCATATTTTTTAACCATACATTCTCCTAAAAGTCACTTTTCAAAACATTGTTTTTGAGAAAAAATGGCCATCAATCATGAAGTTAATTCACCCAATGTATCTATCCCATGAAGAGAAAGCATGCTAAAAGTCATGAATAAATCTATAAAAAATGAACTAGATAAATAGGTATTGATGAAGGAAAATGCTAAATGTACATTCAATTGCTTACATTATGTTTGATTTTGTTTTCAAAAAATTGTGGACGGAAAATTATTTTTTTGAATTGTCCAATAGTGTGTTGTCACTTGGCACAATGTAAACAATAATGTAAAACACGTAACATGATTAATCGATAATGTGGGGGCTGCGGTAACCTATTTTGAATTCAACCTTATTTCAGTCTATATATATCCTAAGGAAACCCCAATTGGCATTTGAAAGAAACAAGCTATTACAAGAACTTCTCTGACCAGCCCTCTATTCCATTCCCTTCTTGAATAGAAGCTGATCAAATATAATTAATTTAATCCCAGAAAATGATTCAGAATTCGGTAGTGCCTCAATCAGCTATTCTAACCAATATAGTTCTGGTTGTAACACAGCTGAAGTGGGCGTGGGATTATCTTCTTTATCAATCTTTCTTTGTTCAGTCTCCAGGAATCAGATTACCGGAGTATGCTGATGATCTTAGTGTTATGTTCTACGAAAATAACACAAACTCTGGAGATTCAGTAGAATGTGCTGTTTGTTTGTGCAAGATTGAGGAAGGAGATGAAATCAGGGAACTTAGATGTGATCATTTGTTTCACAGAGTTTGTTTGGATAGGTGGCTTGGTTATGGGCACATGACGTGCCCTCTTTGCCGGGAAAATTTAAGGCTGCCGCCATCGGTGGAGGAGCTCCACCAGGAACTGATTGCTATTAACTTCTGCGCTGCCACATCCAGGGATCGCTGTACATGGTGGCTGCGATGATTTCTTTCTAACTTGCTATTGGCCTGCTTGTAATGCTGTCTTTCATATCATCCTTTTCTTCTTTATTGGTTCAATATTTAGGATGTCATACCAGTTCTAGTATTTTCTAGTGACTTATATCTAAAAAATTATTCATAATGATTACAAACTATTATCGTAGCAGGTGATGAGGTGACAATAATATATTAACACATGAGTACCTGCAAAACAAACGAGCATTTAATTATATATGGATTGGATTACATCATAATACAGACACTCCTATGCTCAAATTCTAAGTATGAAGAAAAATAATTAATGATATGAAGAAAAATCATAATAAGAGTTGAGTATAACGGATTTTGTTTTTCCCTTATAAGTCACGACTTTCATGATCATAGTCATATAAGTGGATTGGAAAAGACTAATTTTATGTTTGTCAAGTTTGACAGATTGTTACTAATGATACTAAACAATGTGCATATTTGGTAAAATTTAAGTTATCTATCTGAAATATGTTTTTTATTCACACATATTTTGTAGTACTCATAACTGCTATTCACTTTTTATTTATAAATTTTTGAGACTTACATATTGTAGTTGATTTTTTCCTTGCATAAGGGCAATATGTACAATCATCTTATAGGTGCCGCACAGACAACACCAATATGGTGCATTTTTTTGTTGATTTTGCCAAAAATCAATGAAAAATGGCCAAGTATTTGTCTATAAGAATTCTTTCAAACATTTTTTGTACGTGTAGCATCACGTATAAATGGAGTGTTCAAATTTTGTTTTAAGTTAGTTCTCGGTATAAAGTATAAATGCATAGATATAGTCCTCCTCTTGGCAAAATTTAATAATCACTTATAAACAATCGAACTTTATTTTCAACTACACTTTTCAATTGATTCACAAACACTAACTATTTACCTGCCACTTATTTTTATTTATTTATAAATGAAACCGTTGATACATTCTTTCCAAATGGAGGCATAGTAGGTTGTACATAGCTAAATAGTTCGATTCGATATAATGCATATGATGTTAGGTAAAAATTTCATGTACTTTAGTAAAAATAAAACTCATCTAACTATGGGAGATTGGGAGTACTTCTACGGAACCGAAAGGAGCCTAGAAAATATAGATTTAGAAAGAATATACTATATTATTTGATAGGCTATTTTTTTCATTCTTATTTCCCTCCTTTACCAATTCGTAGCGTTAGCGGTCAAGTCCATGCATTTTTCTTTGTATTTGTTTGGGTCAATTTTGTTAAACCAATCTTGTCCTATATTCATTGAAGGACGACAAGTAGCTCGCTTTTTTTGTTTTAATATGTTCAAACCTTGAATATTGAAAGCAAAATCATTTCTGTCTATGGCCGGTCGAAGACTTCAGGTAGTTTTTAAATAATTTTTTTTTCCAAAAAAATAATAATCTGTTTAATCTCTTAAGTGGCAGCACAAGACTGCTGCCTTCATCTTTACTACAGTTTTCCACGGTGACTTTTAGCCTACTGCAAATTTTACTTGGCTGTATTCTTAATTTGGAGCATAACGTGGAATTTAATTTTCTCCATCTAATCCAAATATTATGCCAATTTCTTAATTATCATCCCTTGAAATATATATTAGACATTATTTTAGAATATTTGCATAATGTTAATTGCACGATGATAGAGGTTCAAATTTTTAATTTTTTTTATTATATATAGAGCAATAATTCATAGTTTCCGGCAGAAATTGGATACATGTCTATATATGCATACCATATCTTGTTAAATTATATCATTGAAAATGTTAAAATATTATAGAATTGACAAATTTATTTATTCAGATTTTGTGTTNNNNAATTTATTTATTCAGATTTTGTGTTAAACATGCCCATAATGTGAAAGTTAAATGAATATATTTGTCAAAGCATAATTTCTCTTGGAAACCAATTGTTATAACCCAGTGATAGACTTGATACGACTTATTATGAATATTAAAGACGAGATATGGCAATATGAAAAATCAAACAATCAAGAACACAAGATTTTATGTGGAAAAAACTCGTCAAAATCGCGAACTGTTTATTCTTGGATAAGACCATTGCTCAAGTGGCAATCTAGTGGCAGTCAAGCGGTCTCCTTGCAGTAAGCGAGCGTTGGAACTATTGTTTGGAGTATTTGAGGGGGATCAAGGCACATAAGCGAGAGCCACTTCGATATTTCCTTCTCCTTACATGATTTCTTCATCTATTCGAACTTAGACTCCTTTGAGTCTTCTTCAAGTCTAATACAAATTTCAAACTCTCAAATTGAATTCCAACTAAAATTACCAAATAAACTTCAAATACAATTTTCAAATAGTCTTCTAAATAGATTCAGGTCACACAATAATTCTAACAATTTCTATAAATAGATGATGGCAAGACTTCATCCCGCGACGTTTGATACCTTATGAAATTACATGATCTAAAAACCTTAAGTTTGAGATATGATAAATATATTTATTTAGAAGTTTAGTTCCTTCCTTAACGATAGTGGAGTCACAAAATATGACGTACGAACATATTTAAATAATTAGAAGAATTAATTTAATTCATTGACGTACTGTTGGGGTTAACTTTTGTTCTTTTGCCATGTATATTCTTTCTCTTGGGTACTGGGAATGCTAGCTAAAATAT